GCATAACATTTCTAAGTAAAAAAAATCTGTAGTCTTGCCTAATTTTGCTTCTCTAATTTTGATTTTTAAAGATCAGTATGTGGTATGCTGGTGGTCTCAGGTTTCCATATAAAACACTGTCTAGTAATTTGTAAAGGAATGATTTTGCAAATGTGCACTCTTCAATCATTCACTTTTCAATAGCTGTAGCTAGCTGTTTACAAAGTTGAGGACACGAATTTTTTTATGTTGTTGTTGTTGTTTTAAATATATTTTTTATTGATTTGTTACAGAGAGGAAGGGAGAAGGATAGAGTTAGAAACATCGATGAGAGAGAAACATCAACCAACTGCCTCCTGTACACTCCCTACTGGGTATGTGCCCACAACCAAGGTACATGCCCTTGACCGGAATCAAACCTGGGACCCTTGAGTCTGCAGGCCGACGCTCTACCCACTGAGCCAAACCAGCTAGGGCTGGAGGTGACTTTTTAAAACTAGACAGCCTTCCTCCCAGAGCTCCAAGAGACGGCCAGGAAACTCAGAGCACTGTCCTGGCTCAGCCCAAGGAAGAGGAGATGGGGGGACAGATCTCCAGGCAGCCAGGACAGGCGAACAGGGGCTCTGTGTCACCTGTGCCATGGTGGAGGGAAGGGGAGAGCTATGTATGAGCCCACCTGGCCGCTTGTGGGTGACAACCCCCGGCCATGAACAGCCTAGAGAATCAAACGGGTGCTGATCGTGAACATCGATTCCAACCCCTCCTGGCAGAGAGGGGCCACCTAACCTGCTCCCGCCGTACCTGTCACATCAGCGCATTAATACTCTCGCTTCAGACTGACCTTTATGAAGTCCACCTTCTCCTCGTGGCAGATCTCCTCTACCGTTTCCATGAGCTCCTTGCAGGTGTCCAGGTTTTCCCCACAGCTGACCAGCTGTCCGTACAAGGCCTCCAGCTTCTCCTTCTTTTTCTCCACTAGAGCTTGTACTTTCTCTTCGTATTTCTGAGCAAGTGTTTCCAAGATCTCGTTGTAGTGGGACTCAAAGTTCTGTTCTTGTCTTCCAAAATTCTCCTGCAGGACAGCGGACCTCAGTCATCATTTCAGTGCATGAGGTGTGTCAGCTAGTCATTTGGGGCATAAACACGTATCTCCCCAGAGATGATCCACTGGGCCAAATCGGTTAGGGCTACCCAGAGATGTTTTAGTCCCACCCCGTCATCTTATCTCTTGCCAGGATGCTGGTGGATGCAGGGGGAGCTGGGAGCAGAAGTCTCCAGCTAGAACCCCAGGGATAATCCTAACAAAAACACTGCTTTCTCTACTGCAGCATTTTGCCATCCTCCTTCTCACTCTCAGACTACTCATGTTTTCCCCACCTCCCATCACCATGACAACCAACCAAGGCAACTGATCATCAGTGCTGAGTCAGCCTGCCACTGGAACCTTGGACCTCAACAAGGAGATGTTTGCCCTGGGAGATGCCCACCTGAGCTCTCCACATCTCAGGACCCTCACCTCCACTCTTTGGTGCGTGGATTATACAAATATCAGGACCGCAGATCTTCATATCAACAAGAGAAGCTTGAAGGGAAAGGGCAATAAGGACTGTGGCCACATGGTGCTAACAGGTGAGGAAAGGCAGGAAGGCGAGGGAGGGTCATGACACTACTTATCCTGGAGCCCAACGGGTGAGAAATGATCAGAGCATACCCACCCTCGTCCCCAGGAGAGATCTGCGGCTTCTGACTGATGCCATCCTCATCAGATAACATTTCCAAACAAGAGGATTAATCATTCAGGGGTTGTTTATTGAGCACCTACTATGTGTATAAGACTTGCTCCGATGGCAGAAGAGAGGGAGAAGCAGTAGAGGCCTCCCCGGTGCTGAATGTAAAGGGAAGAGCTGAGTCCTCTGAGGTGCAGATACGCTGACCTGAGAGTGAGCTGGCCGTTCAGAGTGCAGGAAGTTCTGTCCCTCCTACTGGACTCTTACCCTTCCCACCACCAGCATGTGCTTATAAGGGGAAGGACTTGCCCTTCTCTGTACCTTCCCTAGGGCGTTAGTGCCATAGCTCTCCTCCATTTCAAGATTAGGGGTGACGAGAAATAGACCTGGGGCTTAGTTAACTGATACAAGGTGCTCCCGTTGATTCAGCCTGAGGTGCATTAACGAGGTAGATGAAGGGAGGGGAAGAGGGACGCCCCAGGCCCTCAGTCCTGGTCTACTCATCAGGACGGCACCACCTCTGGCATCTATACTGCGTACCTACGGCCCACCCAGGGCTGTGTGAGTGTTTGGGGACAGACACGGAAACTTACTGATCTTATGAGAAATGGGTACCAGCTGAGAAAAGGAACACTAACCAATGACAGGATGGGGGTCTGCAAAACCTTGTCAAGGCTGGCGCATGCAAGAGTCCCGCCTTGTAGTCAAACCGGAGATAAAGAGGCAGAAGACACAGCCTCCTCACCAAGAGCTTATAGTTCTGTGGGGATGCTGCCAGGTTAATCGGTTCCATGAGGTATATGCCCAGGGGGTTGCGGGAGGGCAGGGGGCAGGGCAAAAGTGACACCACATGCTCTAAGAATACAAATTCTCCACCTCATACTGGACACCGCTGCTGCCCCAGATGGTGCTGGGCGAAGCAGCATGTGTCTGACGGGTGCATCTGCGTGCTCTTACCTCCACCGTGATGAAAACCTCCTCTAGGTGACTGGCAAAGTTTTCCATCTCAATAATCTGCTTTTCCAGCCTGTACATGTTTCTGTGAATTTCATCCTATCAAACAGAGGATCGCAAGATGTTAATGCTACATCCTTCCTCCCCTCCTGCGGAAGGCACGTGAGAGTGACTCCCTGCCTGATGACTTGAGCAGATGCAATGGAAAGAGAAAGAGAAACTAGCGAGAGCCGCTCACCTTGGCGCTTTCCAGGGCTTTACTGAGTGGGGTCACCTCGTGCTCTTTGTGTTCATCCAGAACCTTCTCCAACGCTCTGATTGGAGTTTTGCAAGTGACACAGAAGACGTCAGGAGCTTCTTCCTCGTCCTCCTCCTCTGGGATGACATAGCACTCGTACTCCTCGCTGGCCCGGCCGTGTGTGTACCTGTAGGCCTCCCGCAGGTCCTGGCACTGGCCCTCTGAGCCCCACCCTCCGAAGCTCAGGTCTTCAGCCTCTGCTGCCTCTCCGCTAAGTCTCCAGTCTCTCTGCTCCACGGCCGGTTCTCTCCCCGCCACCACGTAAGCAGGATATTCCGAAACCTCTATCCTGGGCATGTTTTCGTTAACAAACTCGTCCCCTAATTCATCATCGTCTTCGAGTCCATATAAATGGACAAGTTCATCCACTTCCTCTTCGAGGTCTCTTTGAGACGGACCTCTTGCGGCCCCTCTTGGCTCACTGGTCATTTCAGCTTGGATGACTTCTCAGCCGACTGTGCTCTTCCGGGAAGATCTACAGTCTGTCTCCAGAGTCATACGGACCTAGGGGATACTAGCGGAAGTCCCTGGGGCAGAAGGCCTGTCCTGTTCTGGCCCCTCCCTGGCTTCCTCCACCGGTGCCCTGGCAGCCCTGGGCAGCACCTCTGCACGACAAGGATCCTTCCTGGACCGTGAGCAGTGGATACCCTGGGTCCTAGAACACAGCAAGAAGGAAAACACTCGTTTCTGAAAGGATCAATGCAGGAGGTGGTCCTCAGATTGGGCTCACCTCATTCACAATTTTTAAAAATCTTCTGAACAGCTCAGTTGTGGGTTTACTTTGAACCATCTGTAAAGAAGGGTGTGCTTTCTCCTGGAGGATTTTTGAATAATGTACATGTTGTAAGGCTGTGCACAAGCAAAAAATGTTTGAAGACCATTGATCCATGCACACAGAAAGAAAGACCCTTTTGTCTAGAGAAGCAGGCTTTTAGCCCTAACTGGTTTGGCTCAGTGGATAGAGCGTCGGTCTGCGGACTGAAGGGTCCCAGGTTCGATTCCGATCAAGGGCATGCACCTTGGTTGCGGGGCACATCCCCAGTAGGAGATGTGCAGGAGGCAGCTGATAGATGTTTCTCTCTCATCGATGTTTCTAACTCTCTGTCCCTCTCCCTTCC